GGGGCGCGTCCCCCCCCGGCGCCCTTGGTTTGGCTCGGGGTGTCCCTGGTCTGCTGGAGACGGTCCCCAGCAGACCAGGGACACCGGAAGCAAAGCCGCACAGGCGGCGGAATCCCGCGCCTCCCTGGCTTTGCCAGAGCAAAGCCTCAGAGGCGCGGGACCCCTCCGTCTCCCCGGCTTTGCTCCAGGTGTCCCTGGTCTGCTGGAGACGGTCCCCAGCAGACCAGGGGCACCCGGAGCAGCTTTTCTCGCCCCGGAGGTCGAGGTGGCGGGACCGCTGCGCTCTGGGCAGTCCCGCTGCCTGCGAGCTCCGGAGCGAGAAAGCCCCGTTCGTAAGTGCGGATCCGACATAAGTCGGATCCATGTAACTCGGGGACTGCCTGTAGTCCCACATGTCCAGAAGTTATATTTCATTATTACTGAATATCATCACTGAATATTTTACTATCCTTAAATTGCCAGATAAAATATGACCAGAATTACTGTCCAGCTGCTCTATATATCTTACTCTTAAATCTTTCATCTTTGCTTAATGCTGCTGTCAATTTATCCATACTTTGTGCATCCTAATCCACTATTTTTATGCAGAGATGACTGAAAATGCTGTACCCTTTATGTTTGTGGGACATAAATAGGGAGTAGGTTTGCACTAAAATGGACAGTAAAGAGACAAGAAAACTGAATTGACAAGATTTCAGATAGAAAACCAATTTTAAAGTAAGAAGAATCAATTTTTATTGATAAAAATCAGTGTCACAGTCAAGGGCAACTGCACTTGCATTTCCCCTCAGTGGTCCAGAAAAGGCACCACCTTCAAGCTTTCTGCTCCCCAGCCATGGCACTGGAGACCCATGTCTCATTCCCTTCTGACTGGAGTATTTCCAGACTGCACAGTTCTCTGCCTGCCCTGTGTTATTTCCAGCAGAGACAGGCTGCCCAAGCAGGCCTCTTGCTTTCTGTTCAAAAACGATTAACAGCGTGACTTCCCATGGTTACAGATAACACCCAGCTCTTTTTATGCAAGCTTATTTTTTAAGATTAAAAAAACCACACAGAAAATTTATTAAAATGATAAAAGAACCTACACGCATGCTCATATGGTTACCAGAGATCACCCCGACTCTAACAAGAGCAGACCTGCAAAACCCCACAAAGGGGGTTTCTTCTAAATTCACAAGGTCCCAAAAGCCATAGCTCAGAACTAGCACCTAGTGTTTTGGGTAGCAGCAGGCCTAGTCCTTCCATCTCTTCTCTGAGGATAGGGGTCTCTGTGATCAGGGATATTGTCCATTTCCTGGATCAGGAAGAAGGCCTCGAGGCAGTTTAAAACCAGGCTATTTATACAAAAATCCTTTCTTTGGTGGTAGGTGCAGAACACTATTTGAACTGTGTATCTCTCTGGGGGACGGGGTGGTTTTATAGGGCTCATAACAGAGGAGGTATATTGCTATCCCCCTCCTACTAGAGAAAGTGCATACAATTCCTCAATTGAATATACTCAGTTACACTTTTAATACAATAGACCCCAAAGGCATTAAACCTATTTCAGTAAAATCGATCTTAATTCCATAAGGTTTGTCCAGGATATTACAGGATATTGTCCGTCTGTCACAGGATGATCTGACAAGTTCTAGGAGATGTGGTTCCCTAAAATTGGAACAGCTAAATTTAGAAGACTATGAGTATGCTATATAATTCCACTGACAGAATTCTTCATGAAAAAAATAACTTTACAGAAGTAGGTTTTCACAGCAATGAGGCTATCTTTATCTACAGAAGAAACCTTCCCAGCATCACTGGAGTTATCCTAACTGTATGGACATGTATCAATGACAGGCCAGAAGTTGTTAATCTTAATAGAGCATAGTAATTAGGGGATATTAAATCTGGGGCTCTGTCATTCTCATGGATACACCACTGGTTTGAGCAAAGCTTTAAAGAAAAAGGTTTGCTCTGACTGATCAGGTGAGGAGAGCAGACAATTTCCCCTTAGAAACCTAAGGCCTAGTCGAGCGGTTTCCAACCTGTGGCCTGCGGACCCCGGTGGTCTGTGACGATACTGTAGAGGGGATCCGTGGAAAGTTTAAAATAGAAATTAAAATAAATGTATGTGGCTCAGGAAGAAGCGTGGGCTGAGGGATGTACAGGCTGCAGGCACAGCTATATTGTTTTGGGGCGACTAACATTTTCATAGATTGAAAAGGGGTCCATACGCTTGAAAAGGTTGGGAGCCAATAGCCTAGTCAATATTACACCTTCCACCCCCCATCAATCTGACTTTCACAAATAGTGTAGCTAAAATTGATGTACTTACCGCGGTGTCTTCCATATGGTAAGGTCAGTGAGGCTGCTCTTCCATCAACTGTGGCTACTCTTCTCCTCCTGGGAGAGTACTGGAATCAATGGGAAAGTGCTTGGAAGTTGATTTATTTGGCATTTATATTCTGTTTAATAATTCCACAGACATAAGGAACCCGGGGCAGGCATTCTTAAGGAATTAAGGCATTTTTTGCCCTTAGATCACTACTTAAAGGATGTAGTCTTCATCCAGGTGCAGAACTCTAGCTCCTGTGTTAATATAGTAATGGTTACACCAGAACTTACCAAGAGGACAACTCATACTTATATCCAGCTCTTACAAGCAGAATCTCATGATAGTGTTTTGCTGGCATCTTGTCAAGAACAGAATTGCACAAGCCACCATATTTTAATGAAGACAAAGATTAAAATTGGTTTCTGTGGTTCAGTGTAGAATTGACATTCAGAAAGAGGAGGAAAAAAAAGAATCCAAGCATATAATTGATGTAAACTTACCAACACTTTGTTTACTTACCCTCTAAGTAATCACCCGCCAACCCCCCTGCCCACAACTCTTTCTTAAAACAGTTCACAATAAAACCTCAAGGCACCTTTACAGCTGGCCACAGACTTTTCAAGGAAGCTGGTGTTTTCCAGCTCCCAAAGAGCCATTAGGGATGTTTCCCACCCACACCTCAAAAGGTAGGTCAGCTCCTTTGACAGAAATAGCCAAAGGACCTGGACTTTTTTACACTCCAGCCTAACAACAGGGGGAGTTCCAAAGGTGGCATTTGCCCTGGGGCCAATGATTCAGAAGGAGTGGTGGCTCTTTAAATCACCACCAGAGCACCATGCTACACGGCTCTGAAGGGAGGGAGGGGAGCCAGCACTTTGCTCCAGATGGTGCCATGAGCTGGCTGCCCATTGCTCCACCCCTTTCTGCCCCTGCCTCTTCTGGGGGCAAGGAGCTATCCCCCCACATCTTGCATGGGGGCCCACCATGGCTGTCGATCCCACTGTTTAGGTTTTTTTTTTTTTACAACAAATTTTCCACAGGTGCTAGCAATGGTGGCTGAGCTATTATAGACAAGGTCCTAGGCAATTCCAGCAGCCTATCACCTACTCTTGCTAGGGACATATTTGCATGAGCTGGTTCTTAAAATTGACGGCAGCCGCCTGTGTGCAATACCTTTCTCCTCATTGCTATTCTGGGTGGAGACACATGGGCTTTACTGATAGCTGGAAATTGTAGAGAAATTAGGTCAGTGTAGGCCAGGCCTCAATGGTGTGGGGAGCGGAGAATCTTCAGTTTATTTTGGCTCTGAACACAAGTCCAGCAAAGACTGAGATATTTGCATTCACCATAACAGTGAATGCTCAGTGATTGTTCTCAGAACATGGTTGGCACATTTTGGTATAACTGCTACGTCAGTTCTATGGTTTATAAGCACCCAATCATGCAGAGCTTTGTTGCCTGAGAACTTTATTTTGGAAGAGGTAGTTGTAAATAAGCGAGTGAAACTGGAGCACTGTCTGGGAGCTCTTTCTACCTGTGGAACTACTCTTGCTAATGCAGAATAAAACTCTTCAAAATATCTTATGAACCTAGCTGGTCTGTGTCTGGTTATATAACTACCATCAAGACCTTGTCCACACTAGGGAATTTAAATGAATTTCCGCAGCTGCTAACCCCTGGTTAGCTGCACCAGTGCTTGCTGTTTGATGGGACACTGCTATATTCATAAAATCATAGAATCATAGAATACTAGGACTGGAAGGGACCTCAAGAGGTCATTGCGTCCAGTCCCCTGCCATCATGGCAGGGCCAAATACAGTCTAGACCATCCCTGATAGACATTTATCTAACCTACTCTTAAATATCTCCAGAGATGGAGATTCCACAACCTCCCTGGGCAATTTATTCCAGTGTTTGACTACTCTGACACTTAGGAAGTTTTTCCTAATGTCCAACCTAAACCTCCCTTGCTGCAGTTTAAGCCCATTGCTTCTTTTCTATCCTCAGAGGCCAAGATGAACAAGTTTTCTCCCTCCTCCTTATAACTCCCTTTTAGATACCTGAAAATTGCTATCATGTCCCCCCCCTCAATCTTCTGTTTTCTAAACTAAACAAACCCAGTTCTTTCAGCCTTCCTTCATCGGTCATGTTCTCTAGACCTTTAATCATTCTGTGCTCTTCTCTGGACCCTCTCCAATTTCTCCACATCTTTCTTGAAATGCGATGCCCAGAACTGAACATAATCAGGAGCAGCCGGAGGCAGGCTGCAGCAGCTAGCTCCCCAGGTGGAACGCACGATCGGCGCCCCGCCTGCCCGGCCGTCAATGGACCGTCAATGGGGTGACATCATCATCAGGCGCCCTGAGTGCCCCGTGATGTCATCATCAGGTGCTCTTGAAGGTGGCACCCTAGGCGACGGCCGGGTCGGCCTATAGTCATGGGCCACCCCTGGACACAATACCCCAACTGAGGCCTAATCAGCACAGAGTAGAGCGGAACCCTGAGCATGTGGGCAAGACTCATCAGCCAGACACCCAGAAAGTTCTCTATAGTAACTCCTATCATCCCTCCATTGACCAGTCATAAGCGTTGGTACAACGTGAGGATGAATGGATGAGTGCCAAAGAATCTTATGCCAGCTCTATGCCAATTATCAAGAAAATGCAGAGGATACACACCCAACAGCTTTTCAGAGAGGAAAGGGATGTCATTTAGGGCAAACTGGGTGGAGCTTTGGAGTGGAATGGAAGTAAAGTTCCATGTTCATCTGCTGAAGGGGCTGAAGGGTTGCTGAAAGGCTCAGTTGTCTTTCTGTGTGAGCAGATAAGTGGCGCCAAATGGCAGATCTGATTGATTGCTGATGCTGCTACAACAGGATAGAAACTCCTGTTCTCAAGACATGTGGTGGGTAAGAGAAACCTCATTTCTTATTTTGTTAGGAACATTGTTACCCTTTTCTAACTCAACATCATTTTCATTTGCACTTCAGTTTAATTTAGCTTTAGGAAGGCCGGCTGCGCTAGTGGCACAAACACTGGACTGAGGTTCAGGAAATGTGATTTTACGCCTAACTCTACTACTGGACTGCCAGGTGACCTTGGATGAGCCATTTCACTCCTCTGGGCCTCAGCTTCCCCATCTGTAAAGTGGAGATAACAATATGATCTTTCTTGCATAGTTTGGAGCGATTACTCTACATCTTGTCCCATGTCCAAAACATCCTGACTGCAGCCATGTACTTATAAGTTTCTAGAGACATGTAGTTCTGGTGGGGGTGGGGGATTCTTTTCAATTCTGAGCAGTAGATAGCCTTCTATTTGCTCTCACCTATAGAGCTAGGAATGTCTCTCATCCCAGGAGGTGGATATTACTGTCAAATGAGATTTTCCCTAGTGCTGGAGGCATTCTCAGATTCTCCTCAAATTGCGGATGGGAATAATGTGGAGAGTCTTTCAAAAGGGATTAAAGCTAATCTTCAAAGATCCGAGAATATATTTTAATTAAAAAGTTATAAATGACTTCCAGACATCCTACTGGAAGAAGTAATTATTTATATTTGGCTTGATTTTCAAAGGTACCAAGCATTCATGGCTCCCCCTGAAATCAGTATAAACTGTGGGAACTCAACATCTTTGAAAATCAAGCCAAAATTGCCTTTAGACTGTAAGCTCCTTAGGGCAGGGACCTGTTACTTGTTTAGCAAACCTGTTCTTTTGCAGAGCACCTTTGCCTGGACAGCGCTATAGGAGTAACCACCATAGTAATAGAGAACAGATTGGTGCTGGAAGTTAGGAACATTTGATGTCTTTCTACAGTCTTTGTATTACACATTATTTTTAACAAAAATAAAGTTCCATTTTATAAGCAATATACAAGTGAAGCACGAATGAAACAACCTATCTAAAACACCCTGGAAGCAGAAAGGTGTTTGCCTGCTCACATACAACTTTTGCGTCATTCCCTATTTTAGTTTCTTGAAATAATTTGAATCAAAGGCTGCCAATTAGACCTCTCAGGGAATAAGCAGATTAAGAAGAGTGTGTGTGTTTGTAACTGTTCTTGGAGCACTGAGTCACAAGGCCAAATGATGGTGGGACATTGCTGATACATGTGTGAACACATGCAAGTGTGCACACCCTCAGCCTGTCAGAGAGCCACAGGATCAGTGCTACGCCCACAGCGTGCTATGCACACAATCTCTTGGAGGAGTACTGTCAGTGTGCCAGACCCCAATAGGAGCTGACAGTCTCTGTGAACTCCTGGACAAAGAAGGGCCACAGCCTTGGGTGGAAGGTATGGGGCAGGGCTTCCAGCTCTCAGCACCACCCTCAATGCACCACGACGACCCCCTAGGCAGCCCTTAGCACTGCCTGGAGCATGGCACATCCAGCCTGGTCTGGCAGTGATTTAAAGGGCTCAGGGCTCCAGATGCTGCGCCGCTACTGCAGTAGCTGCGGTAGCAGCTGGGAGTCGCAGGTCCCTTTGAATTGCGGGCCCCAGGACAATTTCCCCCTTTGCGCCTCCTCTCTGTGGGGTCTACAGATCCCCCAGGGGACTTACTCTTCTTTTACAATGGGCTATGTAGCTTCTCCACTTCCCAAGTCTGAACTTCTGGCGCTACAGCACTCCCACTTTACACCATCCGCTCTGTTCAGAGTCCAGCTGAGGTAGATTTGACAGAGACTTCTTCAGAGATTAATGCACCTGCCAAACATTTGTAGGCCCTTCAAATGATCTTCTCAGAACAGTAGGGTCATTAGTCAGCTGGAATACAGCATAGGAAGTCCTTAGGTTAGCCGAGAGAGACTGAGGTAAAAGTATAGCCCAAGTCCATTCTCATCAACCCAGAGACCCATCCAAACTGTAGTGAACACCATGTTCAGGCCCAGTCTTTCCTGCAGGCTAACATCCTTGATCAGTTCCCAGATGGGATCCCCAGCTTTCCCTGCCATCCCAGCCCTTTGCTCCTCAGCTGGGAGATTTTGCTCTGCTTCCTCCCTGAGAGGTGGGAAATTCCATCTCCCTCTGGTCCACTGATTAACAGGTGTCAATATCTTGGTGACTGGATTTACCATTGTC